GGACCCCAGACTGACAGTGACAGAGCTGTTACCACCTCAGGCCTAAGGAGGAAGCAGCAATAGAACTGAGAAGATTGGAGGGTCCTGGAGAGGCCCCTCCCTCGAGTCTGGATCCCCTCTGGTCTGGGAGAGATCCAGCCGGAGACAGCCTCCCAAGGAGAGAGCAGGGGAATAAATATTCCAAACTCATCCCCAGACTCTGGAAACCAGAGGACTGAGCCCTCGCCCCATCTTCATGGCCAACCACACACCCTCCCCTGACATCATCCCTCTTCTTGAATCGGTCTACCTTCTTGTGTCTGTGGCCCTCAGTTCCCCTTTGCCAGATGAGCGAACTTTGATCCCTAGAACTTACTGCCTTCCAGCCATCATTACTGTTGACTTAGAGTGGTCAGTTCCTCTTGGGCCAGAAACCCTTCATGGCAATGAAGAGAGTGGTGAGTCAGAACCAAGAAAAGAGAGTGTGGCTGGAGAGAGATGAAGGGTCCACACATTGCATGCTGCCGAGGGTCAGGTCGGATGAGGACTGGGTGCTGGCCCTTAGATGGTCAACATGGTGGAGGTGGGAATCTTGCCCAGAGTATTTTCAGAGACTGTCACCTGGGAGAGTCAGCTGGGAGTGGGATGACGAGGAAACGGGAATAAAGGAGTTTAGGCTTCAGGTCTAGGCGACTCATTCAAGAGCCTTTGCTCTGTAGGGAAGCAGTGCATGGGGTTTGTAGACAGAGCTGAGTGGTCAAGGGTTTTCTTTCCCTATCATGGGAGCCACTCAGCGAATTGCCAGAGCTGTGAGCACATGCTGGTGAGAAGGACTGGACACCTGTGTGCATGGAAGTGACCAGGCAGAGATGGGAGCAGAGATGGGAGGGAAGGCCAGGGGTGGGACAAGGGGCAGGAAGGTGAACAAGTGAGCATGGACATGGCCTTCCATCTCCACCGGAAATAAAAAGCACTGTCATTGCCAAGAAGGGGAACACTGGAGTGTGGTGGGAGGGTTGGGGAGGAAGAGGGAAATGGTCATCAAGAGTGAGTGGCAGATCCAGGCAGAGGACAGTGGTCTAAGGAAATGGGGCAGATTTTGTACTTCTTCCCAGAGTGTGGGCCATGGAGTGGAATGGGCAGGGCTGAACTTGTCCATTTGCCAGGCAAGTGTAATGACAGGAGAGAGAGAAAGGTTTGCAGAGGGGGTGGAAATAACTGACTTGACCATGGTCTTTAAGCTTTTAACTCATCTGTCCATCTGCTCATCCATTCCCCTTTCATCCATCCATTCTCCATCCATCTTTCCATCCATCTTTTTATCCATCCATCTATACACCCATCCACCCCTCTGTCTGTCAGTCCTTTCATTCATCCATCCAACCATCAATTCTTTCATCCATCCAGCCATCTTTTTATCCAGCCAGGCATCTTTCCACCTGTCTTTTCATTTATCCATCCACCCACCCACCCATCCTGCCATCCACCTATCCAGTGTGCATTGAAAGTCTTCCAAGAGCAGCAGAGTGTTGTGCTGAGTGCAGGGATGTGGTGATGGAGGATGAGTGAGGGAATTCACAATCCCTGGGGAGTCACACTTGTTCACAAACTGCTCTGAAGTCATCTGAAGCCATGAGACCTGGCCTGGCAGGGGGACTCTGCTCAGCTCACTCCATCAAGCCTGGCCCTTTGTTGTGGCCCCAACAGACCTGAGAAGAAGGAAGAAAAGGAAAGTGACAAGCACTGTGCAAACCTCTGTGTGCAGGGCACCTGGACACCCTCTCGGGGTAGACCTGACACTCGTTGCTATTCCATCCAGGTCTGCTCTTGGGGCTCTCGGCATGGACTGCACTTCCAAACCTCGTGGGAAAGTTTGGATGTGAAGTTTCGTTGCCCCGGGGTGCATCGCAGGTATGGGTTGTGCAGCCAAGGAAAAGGCCACTCATGGAACCATAGCCCGTTATGCATGGGCATGGAGGAGACGCAGGGCAGGGGTGTCGAGAACTGCCCAGGACCCACCAACACACCGGAGATGATCACTGCAGATGGGAAACGTACTCAGAATGGATAAACAGTGACCTGGGGCCAGTCGGTGGCTAAGAGGCGGGATCAGAGCTCTCCAGGTGCTCTCCAGGGTCCTGGCTCTCACTGGGCTGTGGAACCTCACCTCCCTCTAGACCCCCCAGGAAAGGATACAGTTCTGCACGAGGAGTGGGGAGCCAGGCTTAGGAGCTGGCGGCCCTTGCCATACAGGCCCCCGTACCTCAGTTTTATTGGCTGGGAAATGGGGACACATTGTCCACCTGGTAGGTTGGAGGAGATTCGATGAGGTCACATCTGCAGGGTAGACAGCACCATGCACTCAGACGCGCTGACTTCATGATGCCACAAATGTCGCTCGAGGTCCCTGCCCCTCAGCTGCCTCCTGCCCGCCCCGACCCCTCCAGACCCTGGCGCTTAGGACCCCAAACACACCTCCCTCTACCCTCACCGTGTCGTGGGTTCCCCTGACAGTCTGGGCCCCGGGCTTCAGCGCGGGAGCCCTGCAGAGGGAGAGATTGGCAGCTGTCCCTGTGCCAGGACAGGACCAGAGAGGAGGGCACTGGAGAGGGTCATGGGGTGGGGTGGAGTGGGGAGGGAGCAGACAGGAGAGCAGCCCCCCTTTCCTAGAGCCTCGGAGGAGGTGGGGGAGAGGGGGCACTGGCAAGATGTAAGTTAGCGAAGGTTCTAATCAAATATTTATCAGTTAATTGATCTCCGGAGGCTGCGGACAGCGCCCTCCCCCTCACCCGGGCCTTTCCACACTCCTGCCTGGCTCTCCGCTTCCCTCCGCTCCTCGCCCTCCCCGCCCTCCCTGCCTCTCCTCCGCCATCCTGGAGCCTGGGTGCTCCTCCACCCCTGGGAGCCTCCCGCCCCGCGGGCCCCTCCTCCCTCGCTCTGAACCCACCCTGGGTCTCGCTGGGCCGGAGCCAGAGGCTGGCCGACTGGGCAATGGGGCTTCTCGGCTACTTGGGAGCAATGAGGCGGGACCCTCTAGCGAGGGGCGGGCCCTCGTGAGTGTGTGCATGTGTGCACACGCCTGTATCCGTCCACTTATCAGGGGCTTGGACTGCCCCAGTTTCTGCAGAGAGAGGGGAAGGACCTGGGGGCTTCCCCAAGGAGGAAGCGGGGACGAGACCGCTTGTTCCGTGTCAGGTCGCCCAGAAGTGAGGGCCGTCAGCACCGAGGCAGAGACTGGCACTGGGGGGGTGGCTGGGGGCAGGGTGGAGCTGGGCCCTGGGCTGTGGGGGCCTGCGTCGCTGGCTAGAAGGGAGGTGGGCAGGCAAGCAGACCATGGCGGTGGGGCAGGGCTCTGGCCTGAAGGCAGAAACCAGGTCTTCCATTCAGTCTCTGTTGGCCTCATGTGGCCAGCCCCTCAGGCCACCTGCCCCACCACGATTGACTCAACCTCTGGGGAGTTGAACTAACTCTCCCATCGGACAGCAGACCCCGCCAGGGCAGGGATTACCCATCCCGCTCCCCACTGGAATCACAAGCCTGGCACCCCAGCTTCCCAACACACAGTTTGGGGTGAATAGTCACCAATTGAAGGAACAGCAGTGAGCAAGTCGGCATGCCTGCTAGAAGAAGCACATGTCTTGGGGTGGGGGTGGGGAGGTGGACAAGGAGACAGACTCTAAAACTGAGATCAGACACATGGAGGTTGACGGGGGTGGACACGGAAGCACGTGTGAGGTCTCCGCTTAGCGGGGCATCAGGAAAGCAGTCAACCATTGCCGTGCATGCAAGGGTCCTTCCATGCTCTGGGGGCGCCTCCTGCGAGAGGTGACCCCTGTCCTTCCAGGTGGTGAGGCTCCTTCTCCCCCAGAGGCACCCTCAGAAGGCCAGGGGGTGCCTCCCCTGCTCAGAGTGGCTGCTGAGAACCTGCCCCCTAGTGTGTGTCCACAGCAAGGGTTGGCCAGAACACCAGTCCTCTCCCCCGAACCCACGAGGGACCCCAGTCCCTTCTCTGAGGCTGAGAGATTTTCCACCAGAGCTGTTCTTTGTAACCAATACCAGTGGATCTCACAGTCCCCAGACTTGGAGAGGAGGTCTGGGGTGAGCCAAGATCTGCACTGCTGACCGGACCCCAAATGATGCTGATGCTGCAGGTCCCAGCACCCCCTTTGGAGAACCATTGTCCTGGGGCGCTTCTGGGCCTCTCCAGGGGCTTCTCAGAGCCCCAGGTTGGCTGGGGTCAGCATCGAGGGAATACATTTCCCCCTGGGGCAGCAGACCTTTGAGGGTGGGAAGGATCACTGGGACGTCTTGGGGATCCTTGAGACGGAGGCCAGAACCCTCTGTGCCTCACGGACAGCGCCTCACCCTGTGGCCACCATGAGGCCCAGTTGTACGAGGCTCCATGTCTTCACGATCAACTCCAGTCTTCCCCTCTGCAGGCTGTGAATCGTGTCCTCTCGCGCCTGCTTACTGATGAGAAAACCGAGGCTTAGAAGTCTTTCTAAGGCCAGAGGGCAGGGGTGTGGCCATCCAGGGTCAAAGGCAGGATCCTGGTGCTACTGGAAGGTTCTGTGTCTCGACTAGGCCCATGTCAGTCTCCTGGTGGGGAAGGTTTCACAAGCTGTCACCGCTGGGGGGCCCGGCCCTGTAGAGGGTACACGGGGCCCCCCTGAGCTATTTCTTACAGCTGTGTCTGTCTACAGTTATCTCGAAATGTTTAATTATTTTTAAAACTCGCTGGATTAAAAATAAACCTTTAGTGTGCTCGGACCTGACAAATTCACACAAGTGGCTCCAAACCCAGGGGTGTCTCCCCGCAGACCTGGGCTCCCCTGAATGCCCCCGGCAGCCCAGCTGTGAGCTGATTGCCCTGTGCTGGGGGATCACCCCTCCCAGGCGGCCTGGACAATGCTGCTGAAAGTCCAGTTCAGGACCACAGGGCCTCCCAGAGAGGCGCCAGTGAAAGGAGGCGGAGTCCCGCCCACACCGCGGTCTAACCAACCTTGCTGTCTCCTCCGCAGGGCAATCAGGACGCCACGGCTCCGCCTGAAGCAATGGCCCAGCCCTACCCCCCGGCCCAGTACCCCCCTCCGCCACAGAACGGCATCCCCGCCGAGTATGCCCCACCCCCACCGCACCCCACGCCGGACTACTCGGGCCAGACCCCGGTCCCCCCGGAGCATGGCATGACCCTGTACACACCAGCACAGACCCACCCGGAGCAGCCAAGCAGTGACACCAGCACACAGCCCATCACAGGGGCCCAGACAGTGCCGGTAAGGGCCCCCCAGCCTCGGAACTCCAGGGGAAGGGGCCTCGGTGCCTGCATATGGAGAGGCAGCCCATAGCAGGGCGGGTCTCCACCCCCAGGAAGGCACTCCCAGCCTTCCGGCTCTTCACCATCCGACACCCAAGAATCTTTCTGGTGGGCAGATGCCTCGCAGGGGGGCCCCCCTCTGCCTCCGCAAGCCATAACTTCAGGCCAGCTCTCACCTCATCTGGGAGATGGAGCGTGTCCTCAACCATCAGTGACCTGTTAATGGGAAGCAAGGGAAACGGCCAGGTCAGGGGGCCTGGGCTCGCCTGGAGTCCCAGGGGGGCCCGGCAGCAGTGGGGGCAGGGTGGGGAGTGCTGGCGGCAGCGAGCAGAGGCCCAGAGCCCCTCAGAGCTGTCTCGGGTTGCAGGCCCTCCTATCATTTCTAATCACTTGTAATCTACCTGCTTGGCTGCCCTCCAATCAGATAGCTTCAATTATGTGGTTGTGATGCAGTTCCAAAGATAAAGTGCTGAGCCGGCACTTCTTGGAGATTTCCTGATAGCCAAGGATCAAGTCCGGGAGTGGCCGCTGCCCCTGGCCCGCCTGGGGTGGGCATCCTGTGGAGGGAGCCCCTCCGGAGACCAGGCTGCTGTGGCCCTGCCCCGAGCCGCCTCTGTTGCATCCTCCACGGGCTGAGCTCCGGGGCTCTGGGTCCATCGAGCCGGCCCTGCTGGCCTGGTGCCAGTGCTGGCGGGTGGGGGCCAGGCAGGAGGCCACATGCCCTGCCCGCGTGCCTGGTAGGCGCCCCGCCCCCTGTGCCACCTCAGCCTCTCACCCAGCGTGGCTCCCGTGGTGCACCCCTAGACGTGGGTGTCACCTTCCCTCGCCATGTGGGCAGCATCGTCCAAACTCTGGGGAGAGCGCCCACCCAAGCTGCCCCCCACCGAACCAGACCCCCCTGCCCACTCGGAGCGCTGCCGGACGTGAGTCTGCGCCAAGTCCATCAGTCTTCTCGATTCTCCCAGCGTCCCTGGTACAGGGTGTCCGCCACAGAGGCCCCCCAGGGTTCCACGGATGAGAAGGGCAATGTCCACGGGTCTCAGAACAGGCAGCCAAACCCTACTTCCCTGGCCGCTGCCGCTTCTCATGCCTCAAACTGTGACCTGCATGTGCTCAGAAAAGAGAGGTGAGTGAGGGAGCCAGAGGGGTCCCTGTGAGCAGGTCACCGCCAGCTGGCTGGTCTCTTTCTGATGGACAGCAGCATATGGGGTGAGTCTGGGGTAAACCTCTCATGACCTCCTTGGGAACAAATGCTGACCCCCGCCAGAAGCAAGCCCAGGGGACAAGATGACCAGACTGGCCACTGACACAGAGGAGGTTGAGACCGACCGCTGACGCCTCCGCAGCACAGACAGGCCTCCTGGACCGCCTGACGCAGCCTCACTGCGACCCATACAGAATCATCTTCCTTTGGCCAACTTCTGCAGGGACCTGCTTGTGCCGGGCCCCGAGCCAGCATGGGGGTGCACAGGAAGAAGGGCCTGACCCTACCTCGCGGGGGCCGTCACTTCCCACCAACCACAGACATTACATGGGCCCCTTTCACTCTGCGAGAGTCCGCAGCCCCGGAGAGGACCCGGGAGTCTCAGAGAGAAGATGCGAGAGCCTCACTGCTCGGTTGAACACCCCACTCCCAGGAAAGTGCCTGGGCCAGAGAGCTGCTGAGCCCGATACCCGGCAGCCTCGGCCTTCCTTTCTCCACGGAGGGGCACTTCAGGTCCTGGGAGGGGGTGAGTCTGCTTCTCTTCCACCGCGATACCAAGATAGAGGCCCCTCAGGTGGAAGTTACTGGACTAGCAGGTGATCTCAAAGACACTCAGAATTGCCCAGCAAAGACTTCAGCTGCCGCTGCTGCAGGGTGTGGATGCTCCGACCCGGAGTGTTTCTTCCAGCAGAGGCTTTGCACCTTGCGAGGAGCTGGGGAGGGTGGCCACTGCCTGTCCTGCTCGAAGACTCCAGGAGCCACTTCTCTTCAACAAACTCTTGGTCCTCCTAGCCCTGCTGCTCAGCTGTCTTACGTCCATCCCAGATCAGGCCTACGTGGCTTCCCAGAGCCTCCCCCTTGGCCTTCCCCAAGAAGCCTGGTGTCAGAATCAGGAGGTGCGAGGAAGCAAGCAGAGGAGCTCCAGCTTGTGTCCATCCTGCCCTCTCGTGCCTGTGGATTCCGTTTATCATCATGGCGTCACCTACGTTCTTTTATCAAAAGGCAGCAGGAGACACAGTGACTGGGGCTGCTGATGGAGCAGGCCCGCCTCCCTACTCCGCAGGAGCCCCCTGGGGTACAGGTTGGGGACCACCTCCCAGAGCTACCTCATTCTTGCAGAGTTTTACGGGGTCCCCTGCAGGTGCCCTCCCCACCCACCTGTCCACCCTGTGCTGTGGGACAGCCACAGGGACGTCCTCTCGGAAACCCCACCTGGAGCAGCAGCCTTTGGTCCCCTGCACTCTTGGCTCTTGGAACTTAAAAGGGAACAGGGTGGACCGTGGTTGGAATACACCACCCCAGGGTGCCGCCTTCATGCAGGCAGGGTGCGAGCAGATGGCGTCATCAGCATCGATGCACCACGAGCGGTGGCCAGCAGAGTTCCCGGAGCATGGCGTCATTCACAGTCCAAAGAGGACACACAGCTCCACCTGAGGTCCTGAGGAAGGCTTCATGAGTGGATGGCTCGAGGCCTTGTGGGGAGAACACCTCCTCCGAAGCTGGCTCACCACCCACCAGGGGTGAGCCATGTTGGGCGAGCAGCCAACGGTTATTGCATGGGTGCCCAGGAGTTATCGGAGGACTGAAGATGAGGGGAGAGGGGGCCGCAGAGAAAGAGGGTTTCCTGGAGCTGCTTCCTCTGTGTGGCATCACCCAGCCTTGGTTCTGTCCCAGTGACGGCCCCCAGGCCCTGGCCTGATGCCTGCCACCCTGCCAGACCTACTGACCCCTGCCCACGGCCCTCTCAGCCTCTCCCAGTGCTGGGCTCGGGGAGGCCCAAGCGCAGGGGGCTGCAGACTCTTTGGAGGGTGCAAAAATGGGAGATACACTGTCCCATCCAGAGGGACCGGATGTTGCCTTGAAAGGGGGACAAAGACCGTGTCACCACGTGAGCTAAGATGACACGGAAATGAGGAGGACGCAGAAGCAAAATGACTGAGAGCAGCTGGGGAGGAAGGGGTGTTGCTGCTGCTGTTTCTCGTTTCCCTGCATTTGAGAACCAAAGGCAAAGATTGCTTTAAAGAAGAAAAAGGAAGTAAAGTCCTCGGAAGGCGGTGCAGCTTCTCGGACCGCTGTGATAAATGGTGGGAAGGCCTCCGTCTCCCCTCGGGGCAGCCAGTGCGCTGTTACACTCTGGGGTTTCTCCACACATCTCACAATTTCACAGTCATTGAACCCATTTACCTGCCTCTCTTTGCAGCTGTGCTTGGGGCCAAGGAGGGCTTTTCTTACTTGTCCTGCCCCCCCATCACCCCGTCTCTCCCACCTCACCCTCCGCTGCTCCCCTAAGGGCCTTTGAGGTGGGAAGAAGCAGGGGGACCCTGGATCTTGGAGACACACAGTGGGCTCAGTTCTGCTATTAGGAGAGGCCCAAGGCGTTGCAGGAACGCAACATTCTGGCCCCAGATGCCCCAGCTCCATCAGCGCCCTCCCATGGTGCCTCCCCTCCCGCCCAAGGCTCCCCATCTCTGAGTGGGAGCTGGGCTTTCCCACTGCCACCACCCACTGTAGTCCTGGCCACCAGGTTGTGCTGACCACTGCCCTCTGCCGGCCCAGGGCCAGCAGTGCATGCTCCTGTCCCCCTAGTTTCCCAGATCCCGAGTCGGTGAGTCTACCTGTACCCAGGAGCAGCCAAGGCACAGGTGTGTGAAAGGCATGGGTGGGAGGGTGACGGGACACTGGGCCCAACCTGACCACCTCACAGAAAGAGCCACGGCCTGTTGCAGCCAGAGGGCGGGGCTCAGGCTTCTGAAGAATCAGCAGACGCACGGCCAGTTCTGCCTTGGTTTGGGGGCACAGACGGGCCCTCTGATGGTCAAGCCCAAGCTTGCTTCCTACAAGGAAGTGTGGAACAAGGGAGGAGGAGGACAGCCGGACGGCTTGGGAAGGGGCTGAGCAGTTGGGCTTCTCCAGGTCCTGGGCTGGGGGGAGAGGAGCCCCCACATGTCCCCCAAAAGCCCAAAGGCAGCTGCCCCGCTTTGTCCATCAGGAACGAGGGCACGTGCAGGCCAGACCAGGCGTCTCAGAGACCTGCCACCTCACTCCCCCTGACCAGCTGTTCCTCCCCAGACCGAAGGGGGGCTTCTGGTGTCAGCACTTGTTGGTGAAGCCCCAGGAACAAGCGCAGAATCACCTGCAGTCCCACACTTGGCTCAGAGAACACACTCTCATCAGAAATGGGCCTGCCATGCATGGGGTGGCCAGTCAGCTGAACCCCAGGTCACACATGTCCCCAGGCACACGAGGAGATGGTGGTTTCAAACCCACGTGTAGGATCGCCTGCCGTGTGCTTCCTCTCAACACAGGAATACAGAGCTGAGTCTAAGGGGCCTTTGAACAGGATACCCCCACACTCCTGCAGCCCTCCTGAACCCCCTCCCCTCCCCTCCTGTCCCCTATGGCATCTGCTACCCTGGGGCCTGGCTGAGCGCAGGAGTTAGGGGAGCAGCCCTATCCTTCCAGAGAGGATGACTCAGGTGGCCACTGAGGCCAGCCACTCAGGAGTCCAGAGACAGACCTCCAGCCAGTGGCCTTGGCGAGGGCCAGTCCTCAGCCACAGCATGAAGCCTCAGGTGCAGCGAGCTCGCCTTGCTCACCGTCCTGGGTCCGGGAGGCACCAAAGCACTCCTTTGGTGGACAGAACCCACCAGAAGCAAATGGGCAGTTGCCGGTGACCCATGGGAGGCACACACCAGCCCCTCTCCTCTCAGCTGTCCTCGTAGCGTGTCTGCGGCCCAACCTCTCTCCGCCGGCCACATGGGAGACCGCAGCCACCAGGACTTCCATTTGTGCAAAGTCCACCCCAGCCTTGAGGACCCTGCCCTTCCCCCTTCACTCTCTGTAGGAGTATGGGACAGGAGCCAAACCCCCTGACTGTCACCTGGAATCCTGACCCAGAGGAAGACCCCCCCCCACCAGACAAAGGCTCAAGTCCAAGCGGCGTACTGGGGAGGCGATCCCAGAAAACCTGGCAGGGGAATCAGGACTTGAGACGGGAAGAGGAAAGAAGCAGTAAAAGATGCTTTCTCAGCTGGTTGTGCCCACAGGGGATGGGGACACACGACATCAGAGGAGAGCCCCAGAGGAGCCCCACGTGAGAGAATGGCATCTGTCCAGTCACCCGGTCTGTCATCAGCTCTGCTTCTGGACACTAAGCGACACAGAAGGCGGGAGATGCCAGCCCCAGGGTCATGATGAGGCCCCTCGGGGGCCCTCCCTGCACTCACCATGCCCAGCCTGCCCTTGCCCTGGGGATTCAGCAGGGACCCATCAGGCTGAAGGGCAGCCTGGCTGTGAGCTGGTGGCCTGTCCCCATGCGGGTCCCCAGTGAGGAGCCTCACACATGTGCCCCGTCCACTCGCTGCACCGCCTCGAGGCCTCTTCATGGCCTTGACCTCTTGGGGAGCTGGTCTGGGGGACAGGGCGGGGAGGTGGTCCTTGCTTTGTGGCAGCTTTGTTCCCAGAGACCCAAGTCTTTCAGAATCCCTCTGTTGATCAATGTTTGGGTCCAGAATCCGGACCAGCTCTGAGGCACTGGAGGTTGCCACCCCTTGAGCCCTGGACAATGCAGAGCCCCAGAGCAGGGCTAGAAGAAGAGGCAGTCTGGGGGTGGCCTCCCCGGGGGAGGAGTAGCATCCTTACTGAGGTGTGTGCCACGAGTGGCTTCCGAAACCTCTCCACTTTCTCATCAGGCTGGAAACCCCCAACGTTCCCTGTCCTCCCAGAGCTTGGGCTGTCGTGAGGGTACACTCACGACCTCAAGAGCTGTGATAGCCGAGGGCCCACTGAGGTCGGGCATCAGTGGGCAGGCTGAGCCACAGGGTGGGAGAGCACACTGGGCCAGGGGGGCCTCGTTCTGCGACGGCATCACAGACACCGCTCGGGAAAAAGCCCAGAAGGGGGATCTCTGAGGTTGAAATGCTGCTGTGAATCACAGGCGGGGGGTAGTCTGCCGGGCTTGGGGAAGACCTGGTGTCTAGACCCTCCCCTGCTATGGGGTGGGAGCTGAAGAGGGGCACCTCTCAGCCCGGCTCCTCTCCCCACAGCAGACAGACGAGGCGGCACAGACGGACAGCCAGCCACTCCACCCCTCCGACCCCACAGAGAAGCAGCAGCCCAAGCGGCTACACGTCTCCAACATCCCCTTCCGGTTCAGGGACCCCGACCTGCGGCAAATGTTCGGGGTGAGTGTGTGCGGCCCCTCCATCTGCCCCCCCCTCCCCAGCGCGGCTCCAGTGTCAGAACAGCTCCCGGGTTTCCCCACCTCCCGTTGCCCTCTGGGTCCAGCCCCGCTTGGACCCGAGCGTGCGGAATGGGAGGGGGGAGGCGGGACGCAGGCTCCAGGGAGGGACCTCCGTGACTGTCACCCCCAACCCTGGGCTCCCCGGGCGGCTCAGCTGGTAAAGAATCCGGCCACAATGCCGAAGACCTGGGTTCGATCCCTGGGTTGGGAAGATCCCCTGGAGAAGGGAGAGGCTACCCACTCCAGTATTCTGGCCTGGAGAATTTCATGGACTGTATAGTCCATGGGGTCACAAAAAGTCGGACACGACTGAGCAACTTTCGCTTTCATGCCAACCCCTTGCCCCTCAGGCCCAGGCGGAGGCCAGTCAGGTTTATCATTCTGCTGTTGAGGGCTCCAGAGACCTCTGTGCCCAGAGGGGCACCCAACCTCCTGGCCTCACACCCAACAGCCCCCGCCTGTCAGGTGTGCCTGGGGCCCAGCCCGGGTACTGGACCTCTCTGGGCCTGCAGCCCCCAGGCCCCGGGGGCTGGGCCAACAAGGAGCCCACACTACGGGCAGCCAGTGAGCATTCCATCCTGGATCCTCCCAGTCTGTTCCTAGACTCTCTGAAAGATCCCAGCGAGTTCCTACAGGGAGGCTCAAATCCTGCGGTGACTTCATTCTGCCACGTGATTTGAGCCCCTAGCAGGTGCTGATGCCCACTCAGGACTGGGGCTGCCCTGTGGGCGGGTAAGAGGGCAGCAGCCTGGGTTCAGCTCCGGCCGTGGAGGAGACGTGCACCCAGCCTGTGTTCTCTCCCTCTCTCCCATCTCCCACTCCAAACTCTCCTTCCCCTGCCTGCCCGGGGCCCACTCCCCACTTCCGCCTCAAGTCCAGCAGACTCTGACCCCTGAACCCAGCAGCCCACCCCTCACGCCACCCTCAGGTGGGATTTGTCAGGTAAACGGGAGGTGGCCTCGGGATGGGCCCAGCACCCACACCTGCCCTCTCGCCAGGCATCCACGACCCTTCCCTGGGGGCCAGGGCCCATTAGATTGGGATGAGACCCAGTGGGGTGCAGGCAGAACTTAGAATAATCAGGAGATAAGGATTCTACCCCCTCTAGGCCTGGGTCTGGCAGCTGCCAAACTTCTCTGAGCCCAGAGCCCCGACTTAAAGCAGCTGGTGTCGGGTCAGTTCACTCGGATACCATTCCGGTCCCTACGTCATGGGTCTCAGCACACTCTGTCCCTACGGGCCACCCACGAGCACCCCCGGCCCCTGCAGAACCATCAGCCCACTCTGCCTGCACCCCAGCTGCGCCTCCTCCCTCCCTAGCCCTTGGCAGGGTTCACGGCCTCACTGTCTGGCTCCGGGTCACCTCCTGAACGTTACGGGATGAAGGGGAAACTCCAGCTGCATGTACTGGAGGCCCCTTAGGACCTCAGCTGCCACCTTAGGGGACTTGATTCACAGCTTCCTGATCTGAAGTGCCGTGAGAGGGACAGGGCTACCCCTTGAGGGTTCCAGGCCAGCGATGGGCAGGAAGGTGTTAGCCGATGCATCTGGGCCCGGCTGACTGGCATGTCCCAGGCAGGCAGAGGGACCTGGGGTCACTGCCCTCTGCACCCCACAGAGCCCAGTCCCCAAACAGCACAGGCAGCCGGCAGCGCAAGGCCCTTCCTGGGCACTGCGTCTCTGCCGGAGGCTCCTCTACACACCAGCACCCCACCTTTGGGGAAGGGCTTATCCACAGCCCTGTGTCCACGTGTGTGACTTGGGCCGGCTGTCAGCAGCTAGGGGCAGAGTCCGAGGAGGGAGAGCGAGGAACACTGGTGAGGCGCAGGTGGGGCAGGTGTCCTGGCAGGAGAAAGCTTCTGCACAGGAAGGTGGGGGCTACCCCAGCAAGGCCATGCTCGTCCCTGCAGGAGGTGGAAAGGGCCCCCCTGCCCCGGAGCAGAGGACCAGACGGAGGCAATGGGCAGCGGTCCCCGTGGAGAGCCAGCGAACTGGGCCGGCGGTCTTAACCCACCCTCTCCTGTCTCTCCCACCCCCATCTCTGTCTCTGCAGCAATTCGGAAAAATTTTAGACGTGGAGATCATTTTTAACGAGCGGGGCTCCAAGGTGGGTGCCGCCCAGAGGCCGCCACCATTACAGCGCCCGGCTGTAGGTCCCGCCAGGCTAACGTGTGAAATGTGCGTTTCCGCCCTGGAGAGCTCCGAGCCTGAGGACCCCTGAGCGACACGGGTGCTTGTACTCCCCGCTCCTCCGCCCGCCCCGCCCTCCCCACCCCGCTGTCTGTGTTGTCGCTGCGCTGCCGCGGACGCTTCCTTCTCTCTAAGCCGCCGGGACCTCTCTGTCTGCACTCGGAGAGCCCCCACCCCTGGGCCTGGGCCCCTCCCCAGCCTGCGAGCTGCTCCCCTGGGGCCACTGGCCTTCCTGAAGCTGCCCCCCACCGGGGGGGCTTGGAGGAGGGATGGGAGGGTGCCAGCTCCTGGATGGGAAGATTCCCCCCCACCCTCGGGCTCCCCAGGGTGAAGATGGGTGAGGCTGCCCCCACTCTGGGTCCTTCAGAAGCCCAGCCTTGGGCACCACCCCCCTCCCAGGTGGGCTTAGGGCAACAGTCCTGGCCCCTGGTCAGGTCAGCATCTCTTTTTCAGCTTTGGCCTGTCCCCTCAGGTGCCAGGTGGTCAGCTCAGGCCGGGCTCAGGCCAGGCCAGCAGCTGCCCCTGCCAGGGACCATACCCCTCCTGGGCATCCTGCCAGTGGTACCAGGACAGACCTCTGAGTCTCCTTCAACTCACCTGACTCAACCCCTCTCTCTCTCTCTACCCACCCCCCATTGCCCTGCCCCCCTCCCACCCACGCCCCCCCCCACACCTCCTTTTTTTTTCCTTTTTCTCATCCTGTGTCTTTCTCTCCGTGTCTGTCCTTCTCCGCTCACAGGGTTTTGGGTTTGTAACTTTTGAAACTAGCTCAGATGCTGACCGAGCCCGGGAGAAGCTGAATGGGACGATCGTAGAGGGCCGGAAAATTGAGGTGCTCAGATAAGTGTGCTGCAGCAGGGACGCCCTTGAGAACTGCCTCTGGTCACCCCAGGGCCCCACCCAGCCCCGCCGCTGCCCTGCAGAGAGCCGGGCCAGGGTCCCCGGGCCGGGGCAATGCTGAGGCTGGAGCCGAGCCCACCACTTGCCGTCCCTCTTGGGTCTCCATCTCAGGCTCACCCAAGGGCCCCGCACCCTGCCCCCTCCCCCTCCTTCTCGTGGGGCTCAACCCAACTCTGGGAGGAGCCCCAGAAATCATCTTTCTGAGGCTTGGCAGCTCCAAGGACCTCAACCAGCCCAGTCTGCCCCTCGTTGGGAGGGGATCATTAACCACCCCCCCCCGGCCACTCTCACCAAGGAGCAATGGCTGCCCCATTTGCCCCCTCCCCACGCTGCCCCATCCTGCTGTTTGCCCTTTGCCTTCATCCCCCAGAGAGTGGGCAGCAAGGTGCAGCCACGGCGGAGGAGTGGATCCAGCCCAGAGGAGCAGAGGGGAGAGGAGGCAGGGTCCTCCTGACACTTAGCCAGCCTTTTCCCTGGGCCCGTGTGCACACTGCTCAGTGCTGTGGCTCTGATGTCTGGGAGCTGGGCTTCCCACACAGGCTCAGCGGTGAGGGCCGCCACAGAGGAGGATCAGTGGCCAGTGCAGAGCCACAGGAAGAGCGGTGGAAGGCTTGGGGGCGGGGGTGGGGGAGGCTTCTGGACGTGGAACGAATGCTACAGGCACTGACCAGCAACACTCGAGGCTGTGGCCCCAGGCCCCTGGGTCTCACACAGACTTGGGGGGAGGCAGTACGGCCCAAACGCCTCCCTCAAGTTCCCCACCTGCTCTCTGCTCCCTCCACAGAGGCCCTCCCCCTTCTTCCTACACCCGAGCCTGGCCCTCTGGGCAGCCCGACCAGGGCCTTAGAGGTCTGGACAGTAGGACCCACTTGGTGCCCACCTGGTCCTCCCCCACTGGCCTTGCCCCCTCAACAGGCACATATGCCCCCCTTAGGAAAAACTCTCTGCTGGCCTTGAGGGAAGGGGTGCAGCCCCCACAGAGAGGGGTGGCCATCCCAGTGCCCATGACTAGGAGGGCCTTAGCAGCTGCCCACGGCAGAGACGTCTCAGGGGCCAGTCTGCTAGCTGCGATGAGAACACTTTGTGGAGAGTCCACCAGTCAGCTGCTCCCACAGCCGTGGGCTGCCAGAGAGAGGCTGAGCTTGGGATGTGGGGACAGCCGTGTGAAGGGCAAGAGCCGGGGCAGGGGGGCTGGACGCGATGTCTGAGCCGAGGCTGGGGGCCTGGGCATCAGCCGGCATGGGGCGCAGCGGTGGCTCAGGGCCCATGGGCAGGGCGGGGTGCCCGGGGAGGGAGAAGGACAGGCCGTGGTTGACGGGTCACCAGGCTGGTGGCAGAAGCTGTCCCATGCCTCACCTGGGAGCCCCGGGGGCCTCGTCCCCAGCCCCCCACCCCCTCCAAGGCGGCCACAGAGGAGAAGTTCAGAGCGGGACCAGGCGGCCAGTGGCCTGCAGGCTAATGCCCTCCTCAGCCTCTCCCTCTCTCTCTCTGGGCAGGTCAATAACGCCACGGCCCGGGTCATGACCAACAAGAAGACTGCCAATCCCTACACCAACGGTAAGGGGGCCCAGGACCCCTGGGAGGCTTCAGGGGCTGCCTGTGGGGACGGGGCCCAGGCCGCTGGAGGCCAGCCTCCCAGGATGCTAAGCACCCCCTCTGCTGTGGTCTGAAGTGGGTGGGTCAGTGAGGCGGGGGAGACCGGGGACCACCCTCTTCCCACACAGCTGGTGAGACCCCCGTGGGGTGTCCAGTACCCAAAGGCCAAGGGCAGGCTTCAGGCACAGGGGGAAGGTGGCCACTTCCTGGATTGTTCCTTATTTTCTTAGCGCCAAGGGAAGGCTGGGCTAGAGGTGTTCAGTATTTTAACAAGTGTGATAACAGATGGACAGTCGCCCTCCCCCAACCCCTGGCCTTGGAAACACTGAAAGGTTGAGGCCCAGTTGGCCAAGCGGCCTTGCCCATACCGACCTGGACCTGACTGTAAGCAGAGGTGACCAGTCTTTGAAATGAAACTGCTGATGCTAAATGCTGGAAGCTGGGAGCCATGGAGGGCCAGCTCTTGGCTGGCCACCCTGTGCCTTAACTTCACCAGGCAAGGAACTAGTTTAGGTGTAGCTGGCACCTCACTGGGGCCTTTCTGAGTTCGTTGCCAGGGAGCAGCAGACTCGCTCCGTCAGAATGGGACTCTGGCTTTGCTTCCCACCCCCCAAGCCCCAACAGGAGAGAGTGGACCAAGCAACCCCCGGACTCGCTTGTCCCGGTCTGATCAGATGTGCATGGAGTCGGGATGGGCCAGCACAGAAAGCCTGTGCCAGAACTGTGAGCAGACCTACCACCTGACCTGCCAGCCCGGGCCCCCACCATCTGACCTCCTGGAGCAGGCTGGGGCTCCAGCCAGACTCCGTTTGGACAAGATTATTGTCACTCCCATCCTGATTTTTTTTTTCATTTATTTATTTTTAATTGAAGGATAATTGCTTTACAATATTGTGTTGGTTTGGGTCACACATCAACGTGAATCAGCCATAGGTATACATGTGTGCTTTTTTGAGGACTAACAAAGCTCAAATTCTTCCTAAAAGTCTGGAGGCTCCCGGGCTTTGACCTGTGCTGAGCCCATACTGGGAGACCTGGTTCTCAGAGCAGGAAGGGAAGCTGTAGATGTGTTTATAGGGCCAGGGTGACCATAGGGGCTGCACAGCCCCTCCTGAGAGCCACACACCCCTGCTGTCTGGCACACTTGAGGGTGCCAAGGAGCATGGGATTCAGGAGGGAACCCATCCCTCAATGACTGCATCCTTGGCACGGAAGGGCACAGAACTGAAGCCAGTCAAATGACAGAGAATGGAGAGAGGAAGAAACCTCTGCCCACTCTGGCGGCAACCACAGTCTCATGTACATATCTTTGTGGATCTGGGCAAGAGTGAGCCAGCCCTGGGTTCCCTGCAGGTGGCCGTGAGGCCCAGTTCGTGGGCTCTGGTGACCAGGGCTTGACTTTGCTTAATGCTCTGGAGGACTCAGATTCATCGTTCGGTCAGAGAGGCAGAAGTTTCCACTGCAGGAAACAAGACTCTCAAGGTTTGACCGGATGCTACTATTTGCAAAAGAAACAAAGGATCCACCCAGGTGGGTGTCAGGCTGCCTCCATCATCTGGGGTCCCAGACAGTGAATTGGGGCCAGAGCAACAGGTAGAGGCATGCAGGATTCCAGAACTGGCAGAAGGAAGTGCCAGGACCATCCGAAGCAGCAATGCAGACTCTCTGAAGGGACCAGAGGAGGTGCCGGATAGGACCTGGGGGCTGGACTGGGGTAGGTGGCTCAAGGACTCAGCACCATTCTGAATTTTTACTGAGAAGACTCAGTTCGGGCTTCCCGGGTAGTCCACTGTCTGAGTCCACCTTGCAATGCAGAGGATGCCGGTTCAATCTCTGGTCCAGGAAGATGCCACAGGGCAACTAAGCCCGTGCATAACTACTGAGCCTGCGCTCTGAAGCCCATGAGCCACAACTACTGAGCCCATGTGCTGCAACTACTGAAGCCCTAGAGCCCATGCTCCACAACAGGAAAAGCCACTGCAGCGAGAAGCCTGCACACCGCAACTAGAGAGTAGCCCCCACTCTCTCGCAAGGAAAGCAAGCCCAGGGGTGGCAATGAAGACCTGAAGTGAAAGTCACTCAACCGCGTCCGACTCTTTGCGACCCCATGGACTATATAGTCCATGGAATTCTCCAGACCAGAGTGGGTAGCCTTTCCCTTCTCCAGGGGATCTTCCTGACCCCCAGGTCTCTCCCACATTGCAAGGAGGATGCTTTACCAGCTGAGCCACAAGGGAAGCCCAGTGAAGACCTAGCGAAGCCAAAAAAGAAATAATTGGGAAAAAAAAGACGACAACTCAGTTCTTGGGATTGAAGGTCTTCTCAGAAGAGGAACTATTTCTTCCCGCCTGATCTGGTATTTATAGAAGATTCCAGAGACACAACAGTAACATTCAGGCACAAATGTCTGTGCTGGTCATATGATGGTGAGCCAGGGATGGATGGCCAGGGATGGACGGCAGCCTCACAAAAAGTGTGGAGAACAGGCCGCCCTGGGAGGAACCAGACCTGGAAATTCTGTCCTGTGCACTTCTGGGCTGTCGGCCCAGCAGTGAAGCTGTCAGACTCTGGGCCTGGGGGTGTGGAGCGGGACCTGGTGGGAAGTGCTGCAAAGACCCCAAGAGCTGAGGGGCCAGAGACTGGGCCTGGTCAGACGGGTTGACCCTGCCCTCACTTCCTGACCGCCTGGAGATGGTGAAGTTTCTGCCGACTGGTTTCCATCCCCGGGGCCTCAGGTGGGAGCAGGCCTTCACCCCTGCACCTGGGTCTCTGATGGGCGAGGAAGACCACCCAGGAGGAGCCAGCCCACCTGCAGAGAGGAAGAGGCTGGGGCCCAGGGAGTGGCCAGGAGTGTGGTCTGAGCTGGTTTGGGCTTCCCTGATGGCTCAGATGGTAAAGAGTCTGCCTGCACTGCAGGAGACCAGGGTTCGATCCCTGGGTTGGGAAGATCCCCTGGAGAAGGAAATAGCAACCCACTCTAGTATTCTTGCCTGGAGAATCCCCATAGACAGAGGAGCCTGGCGGGCTACAGTCCATGGGTCAAAAAAGAGCTGGACACAACTGAGCGACTAACGCAAACTGCCACTCACCAGCCCTGTAACTGGAGGCTGCTGTGCCTCTGTGAGACTCTATTTGCTCATCTGTAAGATGGGAGAGGGTGACACCTTCCTTGCTGGGTGGGCCTAGAACAGTGTAGCAAGTGGTAAAGGGAATGCTTGCTGTCATTCTTATCATCCCGAATCCCAAAGCCCTTCCTCCCCACCTCCTCCCTCAGCAGCCCTGCCACCAGCTGCTTTGGGGAAAAACAGACACAGGATAGCAAACTCAGCCCTGGGGAAGGGAGCGTTTCAGGAGCTCTGGCCCAGGACGGACATGGGCAGGAGATGGAGGAGGTCGCCATGGCTGAGGCCAGGCACCTTTACCGCAAACTCTGACCCTCCTGGAAGGCAGCCAGACGCCTGCATGATGCAGCTCCCAGGAGACTGGGCTGTCAGGCGCTGAAGCACCCAGACCACCAACACCCCCATCCCAGCTGCGACCTACAGACGCTTGCATAATAACAGGTTCCACTTTCCCTCTTAATGCTCTTCAGCAGACATGCAGACTCCAAGCTGCTGGGGCCAGTGCCCCAGGACAGGGGAGGCCTGGGGCAGGCTGGGGAAGGCCAAAATTTGAAAAGAATCAAGACACTAGGCAGATGGTCAGGAGTGACCGCGTGTCTATTAGTTAGGCAGCAGAATGCACCCAGCCAGTGAGGCTGCAGCCTTCTAAGCGGGGCTTGAGGTCTGTGCTCCTGCCTCATCTGTCTACCCTGGTTGCAGAAGGAGGGGTCCTGCTTGTTCTCTGCAGTGACCACAGCCTGGGACTGTCCCAGTGGGGCCCATCCTGGAGTCTTCAGGGTTCCCAGACATAATGTTGAGGTGGGGAGAGAATGGGGAAGACAGTGATTGGGTTTTTCTGCTTCTCTTCTAGGCTGGAAGCTAAATCCGGTGGTAGGGGCAGTTTATGGACCTGAATTCTATGCAGGTAAAGGCTGGGAGCTGGGGCGTGGGCTTGGGGAGGGCCTGTCGGAGTATTCAGGTCTTCCTGCGTGGGAGGACGCGGCCAGGGGCGTGGCCAGGCAGAGGCGGGGCGGGGCCGGACAGGAGGTGTGGCCAGGTGAAGTGGTGGTCAGGCTCCCAGCCCTCCCGCCTCCTCTCCTCTAAGCTGTCAGCTGTCCCTCTCACATGCTTCCCTCTCCGGCCCCCTCTCTTGCAGTGACGGGGTTCCCCTACCCCACGACCGGCACAGCCGTTGCCTACAGGGGCGCGCACCTGCGGGGTCGGGGCCGGGCTGTGTACAATACGTTCCGGGCTGCACCGCCCCCGCCCCCCATCCCGACTTACGGAGCGTGAGTACCTGGCGGGCACAGGGAGGGAGGCTTGGAGAAAGGCCCAGGGGGCGTGGGGAGGGAGGCGTGGTGCAGCCAGGGGAGCTAGGCAGCCTTTCCAGAACCGCGGGGGCGGGGGTGGGGCTTGAACCCCAACCTTCACACTGCAGTCGCCTCCACATCAGTACCCCCACCCCCACCCTGCTCCGGGATCTCAGGGTCACTGGCATGTGGGGGACGTTCAGAGCCCCAGCACCTTGCCCATTGCTTTCGTGGGTCGTGGTCGGCCCTGGAGCTCAGTGGGCCTTTTCCAAGCCCTCCCTGGTCCCTTCCCCCGAGGCCCGGGGCCCTCCGACCCTAATAGGGGGGTCCAGCTGCCTGGGGTGGAGCAGAGGGAGGGTAAGCAAGCAAGGTGGGCCGATGGGCCCCTGGGTTTGTGGGAGAAAGGAGCTGACCAGCAAGGGTGTTACTCTATTGTTATACCAAAACAGGGCACTGGATCAAACGCTTGTTAAAATGCCAGTCCCATGGGCAGGGCTGGCACCCTGCCCCCTCCCTCCTCAGCAGACTCCGGAGCCGGCCTACCCCACCTCTCCAGCGTTCCCACCACTCTCTTGTCCGTTTGCTTCCAGGGTCGTGTATCAGGATGGCTTTTATGGTGCTGAGATTTATGTAAGTGCAGCCCCGGGGAAGGGAGGGTAGATGAATCCGAGGTCTCATGTGTCTCGATGAACAGTCAGTGTCCCCCACTCCCTGCCCCGCTCCCCCCACCCCTCCCATCCTGGGAGCCCCAGAGAGCAGCCTCAGCTAAACCTGGGTTATCCCGGCTCAGGGTGTCAGTAGTAATGGATTCCCAGCAGCACGACGAGCCATGCGTGTCTTCTCTATTTCACAAACCGTCGGTTGTACGATGGGGGCCGTGGGTGACGCTCCCATATCCCTAACCACATTAGGGTCACTGAGAGGGCCCCCACGGGCACCCCAGATCCATTGCAGAGGCTCAGAGAATGACCGGGAGGTAGGGGCTCCAGGGCAGACCGCTGGATGGAGTCCTGCCTTCTCTCTTCTTTCACGGGACATCACTTGCTGCTTCCTCTAGCTCGGAGCCCTTGCTGACAACCCCCATCCCCCACTGCCATCCTGGGTGGTGGTCACCTGTAATTCAGCCATCCATTGGTCAGGGCTAAGATGTGGTCTGAGTTAATGCCCTTTGCCCCTGACCCATCCCAGCATCCAACACCCAGAGTCACCCATGGGTTCTCCGTGCTCATCAGCATCAAGGTTGGGAGTACACTGGCTTGGTGTCAGGTCTGTGAAGATCTACTGTGTGCCAAAGCTTTGAACACAGCCAGACATATAATTATTGGTGCCCACCCCTGTGTTGAATGCACAAATGGACACATGAATGAATGAATGAATGAATGAATGAAGGAGGTGTATGGACACCCTGCCCTACCTTGAACCATGCCTCTAGACTAGACCACAAGCCAGGTGCTCTCAGGCGTATGCCAGCCACCCCTCACCTGCCCAAGGTGAAGGCTGAAAGGCTGTGTTTGCCCCACTAAGCCCGTGTGCCGTGTCCCCCCCCCCACCTTACCTTGCAGGGAGGCTATGCCGCCTACAGATACGCTCAGCCAGCAGCAGCTGCAGCCGCCTACAGTGACAGGTACCTGGGGAGGGGTGGAGAGCTGGGTGGGATGGGGAGGAGAAGATGGACGGGTCACAGGGCTGGGCTGTGACAGACAAGAAGCCTTACCCACCACTCCGGGCCTGGGGGTGCTTCCCCCTGGAGGAACATAGAGTCTGGACAAAGAAAAGCAAGTCTTCATGGGCTTAGAGACCCCAAGCCGGCAAGCCCCAAACTTCTGTAATCACTTCCTGCCTTCACAACATGAGAGGCCTTGGGACCACCCCCCCCCCATATCTGGGTAGCAGACAGTTCCTCTGATGCCCAGCCCTGGAGGCCTGACCCCCACCACCACCACCCTGAGCTCTGGAGCCCTGAGTGAGACGGTAATCAGGAGCCTTGGTTTCTGCCCGGGACACCACTGACCCTTCTCAATGCTCCCAGGCCTGAGAGCCTTCAGCCCCGAGAAAGAAAGGCAGAGCACGTGCTCAGCTGCGAGTACATCCAGAGGCCTGAGGAGGGTTCTCTCCTGTTTTGAGGGCCGGCCCTGGGGTGAGGGGGCTGCCTTGATGCCTTTCCCCGTGGGCACTCAGCCTGTTGGCCTCTGCCTGCTGCCTGGGGAAGCGTGCAGGCTCCAGAGCCGGGAGTCCAGTGGGCACTTCGTGGAGTAGCTGTTGCTCTTGGCAGTGGCACTGAAGGCACCTTGGCCCTCCCCTGCAGGGGCAGGCGGCACCCTCAGCATCTGGCCCCTGGGCTTTGTCTGGGGCACAGCAGGCCAGCACTCGTGGTCAGCACTCACTGGACGTGTTCAGAGGGTGGCCGGCTATGTTCCCTCCAAACCAGCAGGAAGGAGGAAGAGGGGGTGTGCAGGGGAGGGCGGGGCCTTGGGGTGCTGTCTCCAGGGAGGCGGGAGACCCTCACGTGCCCCGTCGCCCCCCACCCCCCTCCCTGTGCTCACCTCCCCAGTTACGGCAGAGTCTACGCGGCTGCTGACCCCTACCACCACACCATCGGCCCCGCGGCGACCTACAGCATTGGAACCATGGTAAGGAGGCCCAGGCCGGGCTGAGGCGGGGGTGGGTGGGCAGGCCCTTAGGGAAATGCCCCAGACCTCGGCCTGGTGCCTGGCAGGACAGGGGCCTGGATCTGAGCTGGGCAGGACCTGCCCCTTTGTGCCCTGGTGGAGTCAGAGGGAGGTGGGCCCACCCAGACAGGCAGCTGCCCGGTAACGTCGTCTGGGAGACCTTCTGGTGTGGCCTGCTCTGCTGAGCCCTGTAACTAAAGTCCGATCATCCCGGCCTTCCACTCCCTGGACTGGGAAAACCCGACGGAACCTCCTGGCGGGGCGCCAGAGGCAGCAGGGCCTCCACTTCCCCTCGTGTGGGCGTGTCTGTGCCTCTGTGTTCTGTCACCCCCTCGCTGTACCTTTCCTCACCACCCACACCCCTGCTCCGTGACCCTCCGTGGCTCCAGCTGGGCCTGCGGGTCTCTCCTGGGGAGGCGGGGCCTCTGCCCTGGGCTTCAGCGGGGGGCCGAGGGGGCGCACTTCTGATGGGCCTGCTGAGGCCCAGAGGTGCTCGGGCCTGTGTGTCTGTGTGTGTGTGTATGTATGGCCAGCTCTTGACACATACGGCCCAGCTCACTCTGTACCCCGAAATCTTCTTCCAGTGAACACCTACCTTCCAGGCCCACCCCAACCCCCCAGCCCCATGGGGTATTAATGTCGGTTTTTAACTAGCTTTGCATCCAGCATCAAAGATGAAAACGTTTTGGGCAGGGTAAAGAGGGAGGAGGTTCAGAGACAATATGAATTTTTTTTTTTCATCTCCCTTGTTTTTGATTACTCCCTCCCAATTTTCGTTTTGTCTTTTTTTTTTTAATTTTTAACGAACCTCAGCCATCCCAAGCAGCCGTGGGTCCCAGGCCTCTGGGTGGAGGGGCAGGCCGAGGCCCACTCCCAGATGAAGGCCCCAAAACTGGCTTGCGGGCTTCTCAGCTTCAGAATCGCCAGGCCCTCTGCGAAGCTGTTAGCTAAAAGCTTTTGTTAATTCACAGAGGGTTCCCTCTTATGTTTTCTTTTTTTTTTTTAAGATTTTCTGTGTTTTTCCCCCCAACTTTTCTGCTCTGGCACTTGCCATTTTCTTCCTTTCACTGGGGAAGCTGGTGGGTGGGGCAGGAGTTTCCTGCGTAGGTCTCCCTGACCCAGGGGAGCCCTGGAGCACAGGAGAGCAAGCGTGAGAGAGGCCTGTCCTCCCAGCTGGACAGAGGAGGCGCAGGGACCCCAGAAGGCCCCTGGAGCTGGATGAGCAGACGCAGTCCTTCCTGATAGAGCCAAGGCCCCAGGAACCCTGACTAGAGGCCCCTCTCCCCTCCGGCACCTGGAGGGGCTGAGGCCTGCCCCCCAGCAGCCCCGAAGGGCATGGAGGAGGCAGGGCTCCTGCTCCCACCTCCCCCAGATGACAGACGATGGAGGAAGCGGGCAGGGAAGGGTCAGGCCTGAGCCAACAAAGTGCCCAAAAGACATCTCAGACCTCGTTATCCAGAAGCTCCGTGGCCGGTGACCCCAGCACCTCTCTGACCCCAAGACCACCAACCACATCGGAAATAGGCCCAGCACCCCTCCGGCTGCCATGACAACCAGCGTCCATTCTCCCCAAGGCAGAACGGAAGGAGGGGGGACAGAAGACGGGATGTAGCTGTTTCTCTTTTTGTTTTTCTTTTTTTTTTTTTCTTTTTGCTTTCCCCCTCCCCTCCCGAAAGGCGGTACTGATTGGCTGTTTTTCATCTTTGATGTTGCAGGCTAGCCTCTGCCGAGGAGGGTACAGCCGCTTCACCCCCTACTAGCAAGAGGCCCAGCCCCTAACAGCATTCACTCTGACTGCCTAGTACACACCAAACCCAGCAGTCCAAAAGCAGGCACAGCCACTCCGAGGACAGTGCGCCCCTCCCGGTCAGCGACACGCGCCGCTGACTTCCACGACTCTTTAAGTCCATAGGTTTTACCTCCGGCCAGCTGGTCTCCCCCCACGATGGCGTGTGTGTCTTTGACCATGGTCACCCCTGTATGTCTGAAACCTTGGTTCCTATTTTGATTCTGTTGATGTTGTGCCCCACCGCACCCCCAGCCCCGAGCCATTTCAGTTATAGGACGCACAAAGGGGGAGGGGCTAGGCTGCCAGAAGACCTCTTCTGAAGACTAGCAATAGAGCCCGAGAGAGCCATGCCCACTCTCCCATCGCCTGTCCCCACCCCGCCCCAAGGAAGACACCAGTCCAGCCTCCCCAGGAAGCCACCCCAGCCAGTCTGGCCACAGCCCTGCCCCTGCCCCTGGGGTTCAGGCGGCGAGGGCTCTTGTCTGTCTGCCTCACTTGGTGGGTTCCCAGCCTTGACAGTGGTCACTCCTGACCTTCACCCAGCTAATCTCAGGAGTAGCTGTCTCTGCCCTCCTTGTCTCCATTCAGCTAAACTCACGTTTCTGATTAAATCTGACTGATGTTTCCTGCTGAAGTTGTCACAAGTCACAGGGGAGCCACACCAGCCTCAGGGGTTCCTTAGCCTCTGTTATAAGAAACGAAAGAGTCTAAAAATGGTCAGCCCTGCAGTGCCTGGAGGCCCTCCCTTAGCTTGTCTGCCCCTCTGCCCACACTCGTGAGTCTCTCCAATCCGGCCACACTCTGGAGACGGGGTCCCTGCCAGCCTGGCACCCTGGTCTGTATTTGAGTGCAGCCCTGCCTTCCCTTCCCCAAGCTTGAAATGTTCTTTTCCGGGTACATTTCTGGAAGGGGAGTCTGAGCGAGAGAGCAGGGCAAGGCGGTGCTCACCGTCCAGCCCCTCTGGCAGGACAGTGCTTAGCACCCGCCTCCTGTCCGGAGAAGCTCGGGGCTCAGCTCTGCTGCAGGGCTCTGGGACCTGCAGGTAAAGCTGACACGGCTGGGGGAGCTTCTGGAAGCTTCATGTACAGCCCTGGCACCTCTGTTACAGGAGAAAGTGGCCAGGTCAAGGAGGCCCTGGGCTCCTATGTGCCAGAGCTGGCTCCCAGGGGGTGTGGACAGCCAGCTAGAAGGTGCAGGTCCCCACCAGCCAGGGCGTGAGCCTCCACCCACCCCACCAGCACATTGTTTCCGTTGGCAGAGTGGGCAGGCCTCTAGAGGGTACCCAGCCAGCTCACCTCCACTGCCTGAACGCCCTCTCAGCTGCCTCATTCCAGAACCCCACCATGGCCCATGCAGCGCTGTCCACCCACCATGCCCTGACCTCTGCCCTCATCCGCCCCGAGCAGCCAGGCCCTGCCCACCCAGGTCTTAGCAGAGTCTACCAGTAGCTTCTACCAGCTGGGCACACTGCGTCTTTTCCGTCCCCGCCACCCCATCCTCCCCCCTCCGCCCGCACTGGAGGGCAGAGGTCTGCATTCAATTCCTTTAATCAAGATGAAGGGGCTCCTGAAGCTGGGAGTGGGGCCAGTGTGGGGGTTCCCTCCCTCCCACCCACCTGGCACCCAGGGTCCCAGATCCTGCTCCCCCCACCCCCCACCCCGTAGCACACCCGGCAGTTGCTTCTGTGAACTGCAAGTCCTGCCTTTCTGTTTCTGTTGTAGTGAAAGCTTCTGCCGTTTCCTTCTTGGACCATGAAGGGCAAAAACAAAACAAAAAAAAATCACAAAAAAAAATTCACAAAACAAAAAACAAAATAATAAAAAAAAAAAGATGTTCAGATCCAAGCAACAAAAACAACCAACCAAACCGAGAAGCATCCACCACGTCCGAGTCCGTGAGCCCGCGAGCCGCCGCACCCACCGCAGCGAGGGAGCAAGTCTGCGGGAAGATGGGGGGTGGAGGGGTAGGGGGGCGCCTCATTTTCTACCAAGTCTTCCTTCTGGGCCCCACTCGGGGCAGCGTGGGGCCAGTGGCGAGAGGATGCAGGCCCGAGCGGGAGGAGCGGCCAGCAGGACTTGACCTTGGCTGTTGACGGTGCCAACGGAGGGAACGGGCGCGGGGAGGGGCTCGGCTTCTCATCCCAGGGCTTCGGCTGTGCCCGGTCACCCCCCCACCCGTGTCTCCTGCTCTGGGCCCCAGCTACCCCTCCTGCCTCACCGCCAACACCCGTGTCCTGCAAACCTGAGGAAGAGGAGGTGGCAGGGACCGACCAGCAGCAGCCCTGGGCTCCGAACCCAACACCAAGGGCTGATGTCTTTCCAGAACTCCGGGGCACCCAGGGCCCCTCCACGTCAGGGGTGCTCCGGCTGCCCGGCCAGGGGGTGGGGGCCTGCAGGCTGAGGGCTTGCTCGGACTGGTGGGGTTCTGGTTCCCTTTCTGGAGGGGGTCTTGGTTCTGGCCCAGGGGAGGGAAGGCCAGCCTCACTGCTGCGGCTGGAACAGAGGGACGGGACTGGCCAGCGCCCGGCTGCACGGTGAGGTTGGGGTCACGGTGCTGTGGTCTAGACGGCACGTCCGAGCAGGGAGAGCGAGGGGGCAGGGGAAAGCCTGGGTGGTCTGCGGCCCTCTTCCCCTGCTCCCAGATCAGGTCCCAGGGTGGCCGCAGACAGTGGGCAGCAGGGAGGAGCCCCTGGCCAGGCAGGGAGAGCTGGAGTCGGGGAAGCAGCAGAAAATAACAAAAGATGTAGGCTCCCAACATGGCTCCACTGTCTCATGAAACTTAAAAGGTAAAAAAGAGAAAATACACCTCACTTTATATTCAGCATCAGCTCCTGAAGCTACTGAGACGAGTCTCCTTTTCTATTCCCGGTGTACATAGCCCCGCGCCGCCTCCGGCTTCGTCCTCTGTACAGGCCCCTCGACCCTCTGCTGTTCTGGGCCCTTTCCTGCTCCGCACCCCCCGCCCCCGGCCCTGCGCCCCCCGCCCCCCAGGACTGCAGCCAGACCCCAGGCTTCCTTTCTTACCATTCTGTATGCTTCCAAGGTGTGACCATTTAAATCAACCGTATTATTATTATTAAGATTATTAATAAAGATTTTTCTTCGAACCAGGACGACTCTTTTTGATTGGCCGGCCCCCTGGGCACAGAGGACCAGGACAGGCAGCTTCTTTCTCCCAGGAAGCCAGACGGCCAGGGGGAGTCAGAAGACCCTTCTGGGAGAGACTCTAGCACCCCCCATCCTCTCCTCCAGACTGTTGTCTCCTCCAGCCCATCCCGCATCTGGAGGCAGGGCTCCTAGCCTGCGGGTAAGGTCTGTGAAGTGACCGGCAGGGTATAAGGCGGCAGCCCCACCCCGCCACCCCGCCACCCCACCACCACCCCAACTGGCCGCCACTCCGCGGTTTACTGCCCCACATGGTCCCTGATGGGGCCTGACCGCAGGCAGACGCCAGCCCGCCCGCCACCCCAGTGGGGCGTCTGGATGAGAGAGGGCAAGCTGGGCGGTTGAGGCTGCTGCACTCGGGGCCAGCCGTGGTCCCGAGGAACGGAGCTGCTTAAAGGTAAGCCCCCTCTTCGCCACCCCTCTGAGCCCCCAACCCTGGCGGGATGGGGTGGAGGAGAGTGGCTGCCACCCCCCACCCCCACCCCGAGGAGAGGAGGAAGATCTGGGAGGCGAAGCAGCAGAACTCAAACCAGCAGCCTGAAAGCCGTGGGCTGGGGGCTGCGATGGGCGGCGGACTCCAAACCCAACCACACTGCCCCCTCCACGTCTCGCCAGGACCCGCGCTCTTCATTTTTCACAGCGCCGGATAATTTATTTCAGGGCGATTACACACACCAGGGGGGCACAGGCTTAAATGCCGACATATTAATTTTCCTACATACGAGCCTTTACGTCGGCGGGACTGGGGACCGTGCTCTAGGGGAGCCGGGGCTGTGAGATCCCTCCACACGCCACGCTCTGCTAAACCCCCTTACCTCTAATTGCTTGCTCACCAGACTGTGAGAAAATAATTGCCACTATAAATTTTCCCTCCTTCTCTGCATAAAATATTCGGAAAACCAGTACTTAAAAAAGGAAGAGGGGGGTGCTCCTGAAATAAGAGCAGCAGGGCATCACAGCTGTGCTGCCCACTTCTGGGCACCTGGCTGCGTGCCCCCCGACCCCCATCCCTGGGGCGGCAGGGGCAGGCGGGAGCCCTCACCCCCAGTGCAAAATGGGGAGGCTCAAAACATTTCCAGGAAAAGTCAAGGGAGCGGTTCCCCAACCCCGACAGTCTCCTGGGAGAACCGGGGGTGCTGGGAGGCCTGTTCAGGGTCAGACACTGGAGGTGGCTTCCTGGCCTGCCGGAGCCATTGTCACCTCTGAAACAAACCTCTTCCCACCCTGGGATTGAGCTGGGCTGCACACGTGGGGCGTGAAGAGTAAAACGTTCCCAGTTAGGAAAGACCTGGAACCTGAGTTCCTGCGTGGGGCTGTAAAAGGGGCACGTGGGCACCTGGGAAGCAGGGCAGGTTGAGACAGAGGCCATTGTCCACCCAGAAGGAGACTCCTATGCCCTGCGCGTGCAGGCTCAGTGGCTAAGTCTGAGTGTCTGACTCTTCAGCGACCCCGTGGACCGTAGCCCCCCTGTCCTCCTGTCTGTGGGATTTCTCAGGCCAAGAGTACTGGAGTGGGTTGGTATTTCCTTCTCCAGGGGATCTTCCCGACCCGGGGATCAACCCCACCTGGGCCCTGTGTCTCCTGCTTGGCAGGCGGATTCTTTACCACTGAGCCACTCTGTCCTCTCCCAGTTCCGAGGGCCAGGGCAGACGCAGTGTGGCTGCAGTGCCACCTGGCGGCCTCTCCCTTCCCTGCAGCCTCAATCAAGTCTGCTGACCCCGAGCTGGCATAGGAGGCCCACCCTCCAGCTGGGAGGTCACCCCAGAGTGTCCTGGCCCTTGGCATGATCCCCATCTCGTAGCACAGA